GATCATGTGGTTTTTTTCCCTTTATTCTATTAATATAGTGTATTACATTAATAGATTTTCACGTGTTAAACCAACTTTGCATTCACTGGGAAAATCCCACTTGATTCTGGTGTATAATCTTTTTTATATGTTGTTAGATTCAGTTTGCTAGTATTTTCTTAAGGATTTGCACCCACAGTCATAGGAGATACTTGTCTGTGATTTTCTTTTCTTGTGATGTCTTTGGTTTTGGTTTCGGGGTAGTACTGGCTTTGTAGAATGAATTAGAAGTTGTTCTCTCATCTTCTATTTTTTTGGAAGGGTTTGTGAAAGGCTGGTGTTAATTTTTCTTTCAGTGTTTAGCAAAACTCAGCAATGAAGCCCCCTGAGCCTGAGCTTTTCTTTGTAGGATGTTTTAGATTTACTAATTTGATCTCTTTACATGTTATAGGTCTATTCAGACTTTCTATTTCTTTTTGTGTAGGTAGTATGTGACTCACTAAGAACTCGTCCATTTTGTCTAAGTTTTAAAATTTGTTGGACTACAGTTGCTACTAGTATTTTCTTATAATCCTTTTTGTTTCTAGAACGTCAGTAATGAAGTTTCCTCTTTCATTCCTAATTTTAGTGATTTGAGTCTTCTTTCTTTTTTTTCCTTATCAGTCTAGCTAAAGTTTTGTCAATTTTGTTGATCTTTTCAAATAACCTTCCATTGATTTTTCTGTATTGTTTTTCTGATCTCTATTTTATTCATTTTCATGTTAGTCTTTATTATTTCTTTCCTCTGAATGCTTTGGGTTTTGTCTCCTCTTCTTTTTACAATTTCTGAAGGTGGAAAGTCAGGTTATTAATTTGAGAGCTTTCTTTTTTAATATGGGCATTTATAGCTTAAAATTTTCTGTAAAACACTGCTTTAGCAGATTTCATAAATTTTGGTATGTGGTGTTTTTGTTTTCATTTATCTCAAAGTATTTTCTAATTTCCCTCGTGATTTCTTATTTGACCCATTAGAAATTTAGGAAAGCATTGCCTACTTTCTAAATATTTGTTATTTTTCCAATTTTCCTTTTGTTATTGATTCTAATTAAATTCCATTGCAGCTGGAGAACATATTTTGAATGACTTCAATTCTTTTAAATTTATTGAGGCATGTTTAATGTCCTGGCATACGATCTAGCCTAAACAATATTCCATGTTTGAGTAGAATGTGTATTGTGCTGTTGTTGTGTGGAGTTTTCTATAGATTTTGTTACACCTAGCTGGTTTTTAGTGAGGCTCAAATCTTCTATATCTAGTTAGTCTTCTATATACAGTCGATGTGTTCATTATTGCAAGTGGGGTATTAAAGTCTTTAACTACTACTGTTGAATAATTTATCCCTTTAACTCTACCAGTTTTTGCTTCATGTATTTTGGGCTGCAGTTGTTAGGTGTATATATATTAATAATTGTTATACCTTTGTGATGGATTGGCCCAGTCATCATTATAAAATATCTATTTCCAATAATATATTTTTTTGTGTTAAAGTCTATATTTTGCCTGATATTAGTATAGTTGCTCCATTTCTCTTATAGTTGTTTTTTGCATAGTATATCTTTTCCCATCCTTATATTTTCTATTTATTTGCATTTTTGATTCTACAGTGTCTGTCTTGTGAGCAGCGTATAGTTGTGGATCTTTTTTTAAAATACAGCCTGACAATCTCCATCTTTTGATTGGGTTGTTTAACCATTTACATTTAATGTTATGATTGATATTGCTGGATTTACATTTGCCACTTTGCTTTTTGTTTTCTATGTCTCATATCTTTTTTGTTTCTCTTTTACTATGAATATTTTCTAGTATAACATTGCAATATCTTTAATAACTAATTTTTTGAGTTTTTAAAATATGGTTGCTCTATGGCTTACATATACATAATACATTACCAAAATATATTTCATATTTATGCCAACTTAATTCCAGTGAGCTATAGAAACTTTGCTCCTATATATCTCCATTCTCTGTCTCTGTTTCTGGTATTATTTTCATAAATATTATAGCTATATATGTTACAAATCCAATAATACCATGCTATTTTATTACTTTATATAATTTTATGCATTTTAAATCCACTTAGAGAAGAAAGGAGAGCAAATATATATTTGTAGAAGATTACCTTATTAAACTCCTTGCTTACCATTTCTGGTTCTCTTCATTGCTTCTTGTGGACTTGAGTTAACATCTGGTGACATTTCCTTACTCCAATACAGGTGTGCTCCCACTTGCCTCCTTTACACTGTTGTTATTGTCAACTATGTTAAATTTCTGTATGTTTTAGGCTCAACACAATTTATACATGTTTTTTTCAGGCAACTTCTTTTTAACATCAGTTCAGAGAAAAAAAGGAGAAGAAATATTATTTTGTCTCTTATAATTTCCTATAATCACCTTTATCAGTACTCTTTGTTTTTCCTGTGGATCGAATTACTGTCAAGTATCACTTGCTTTCAGCCTGAAGAACTTCCTTGAGTACTCCTTAGAAGGTGAGTCTGTTAGCAACAAATTGTCTGAGTTTTTGTTTATCTGGGAATGTTTTTATTTCACCTTCACTTTGAAATATAGTTTTGCCAGACACAAGATTCTTGGCTGATAGATTTTGTTCTTTCAGCACTTTATGCTATTGCACTGTATTCTGGCCTTCACTGTTTCTGATGACAAGTCAGTTGTTAATCTTACAGGGGCTCCCTTGTACACAAGTCATTTTTCTCTTGCTGTTTTCAAGATTTTCTCTTTGTCTTTGTTTCCAGATTTTGACTATGAGGTGTCTAGGTGTGGACCTCTTTGTATTTATCCTACTTAGAATTTGTTGAGCTTCTTGGACATGTACATTAATGTTTTTCATCAAACTTGTGAATTATTAAGCAATTACTTCTTTGAATGTTTGTTCTGATCCTTTTTCTCTCTTCTTTCCTTTTGATACTCCCATTATATGTATATTGGAGCATTTAATGGTATCTCATATTTCTCTGAGTCTCTGTTCATTTCTCTTCCTTCTTTGTTATTGTGTGTGTCTGTTCTGCAGATTGCATAATCTCTATTGACCTACATTCATATTCACTGATTCTTCTGCCAGCTCAAATCTACTGTTAAGCTCTTGTAGTGAATTTTTCATTTCACTTATTGTGCTTTTCAACTCCAGAATTCCTATTTGATTTCTTTTCTAATTTCTCTTTCTTCATTGATAATTTCTATTTGATGAGATATTGTCATCTTATCTTCCTTAGTTTTTAAAATATGACTTTCTTTAGTTCTTTGAACACAATTATAATAGCAGCTTTGAAGTTTGTCTGCTATATTCAACATCTGGGCCTCTCAAAGGCAGTTTCTATTGCCTTCTTTTATTCTTGTATATGGGTTACACTTTCCTGTTTCTTTGCATGTCTAATAATTTATTGTTGAAAACTATACCTTTTAGATAATATAGTAATTCTGGATACCAATCCCCATCCCCATCCTGGGGCTTGTTTTTGTTGTTTGCTTGTTTATTTATTTAAAGACTTGGATGGGTGAGTTCAGTGAAGTCTAACTAACCCTCCCCCTGCAGCCTCTGATCTCACGCCCTGTATGGCATAGCCTTGGGTGTGTGCACAGTCTCCCTGACCACCAAATGGTGATAACTGTGTTTATCCACACTGTGTTTGATTGTCTCTTTCCTTGATCTCCTCCTCAAGCTTCTGGCTGGTCTGTCTCAATTGGCATCACAGTCAGCTGGCATCCTCCACTAACTGCCAACTGATTTCTCTATTGTTCCACAGTATGACCCAATTACAGTTAAGCCCTTTCTGAGAGCAGAGGTTTGCTAGATTTTGAGGTTTGTTCTGACCCCAAGTCTCCTCTAAACTGTCTCTTTCCTTGATTTTCTGTTACACTTTAGCTGGTCTACTGTTTTACCCTCTTCATTGCTAACCACCAAATTTCCCATTGTTTTTGAGAGTGCCATTATGCATGAACTTCCCCAAGCTATGTTCTAAATTGTTAGTTCCCTTAGGGAGAGCTTCAGAGCTCTCTGTTCTTATGGCCTGTTTCTCTCTAGTGCCCCTGCACTGGAGTTGGGAGCATGGATGTTGGCTGCTTCTCTGAGTTACACCTCTGCTCTGTGATTGGGATCCTGGGCAAGATCTCTGGTCACCTTGGCTAGACCCTTCTGATGTGGATCCTCCCCACTACAAGTGACCTAGGTTGGGGACATTGGGGCCCAGTTTTTTCAGCCTGCCATTCCTGGGATAGAGTTTATACCCTATGAGTGGGGCTGGGTGTGGGAAGAAAGCCCCAGTCTTCTCAGCCATGCTTTCCTGGAATAGACCTTTGACAACATGAGCTGGGGGTGATGAGAGACGTTAGAAGCCTATCCTTCCTAGGGTGAAACCAACCCTAGACTGGGAACTGGGAAGAGAGAGAGTCTTGTTTTATTGGCTGCACCCATCCAGAGTAGAGCCTCCATCACACTGAGCTAGGGCAGGGGGTATCTGCCAAACTCTTCACATTGCCAGTCCAGAAGTCCCACCCTCTACATCATTATTATCACAACCAACAAAACAAATAGGACATTAATAGATTATTCTATTTAGTTAGCAAACCATTCAGATTTTTACCATTTATTATTGCTTTATATTTTATGTCTGGTCTTAGTTCACCATTTCTGTGTCCAGAGTGTTTTTATAAAAATTGAATGATTTAAATTTAATTTGGTCTTAAATGACAAATATCTGAATGTACTCCCATAAAATGAAGTAAAATATTTCTTTATCAACTGAAACAAGTTCATTATTATTTATTTTAGCAACTGAAACTAATTCTTATTGACAGCCATTTAAAATGCAACTAACTATTAGTCTGTGATGGTTAATTTCACTTGTCAATTTGGCTACACCATGGTGCCCAAATGTTTGGTCAAATACTAGTCTCAATATTGCTGTGAAGTTATTTATTTTACATGTGAATCACAGTTAAATCAGTAGACACTGAGTAAAGCAGATTACCTTCCATAGGGTGGGTGAGCCAATCAGTTGAAGGAGTCAAGAGAAAAAGACTGAGGTCCCCCGAGGAAGAAGAAACTCTGCCTTCAGATAACCTTTGGACTCAAGACTGCAATGTCAACTCTTCCCTGGGTCTACAGGCTGCCAGCCTGCCCTGCAGATTTCAGATTTGCCAGGCCCCACATCACATGAGCCAATTCCTTAAAATCTCTCTTTTATAGACACACACACACCACACACACACACACACACACACACACACACACACACACACACACCCTATTGGTTCTGTTTCTCGGGAGAACCCTAATACAGAATTTTGGTAATTTTCAATTAAACAAACTAACTTTAAGTTATTCTTTAGGCATTTCATTTCAAAAGATGTTTTTGTGTTAAAATTTCTTTTTTAAAGGTATAAGTACACAACATTTCAAACTCACTAAAAAGTAAAGAGAACAGTACTACCAACAGTCATACATCCAGACTTAACATATGCTAACATTGTCACAAAGTCTTTGTAGCAGGTCTCTTTTTAAGTTTTTAAAAAAGATCTGAATCATTAAAAATGTAGTTCCTTCAGCTTGCAAGTGGGGAGAGGAGACCACAGAATTTTAAGACAGAGTAATTGTGCTGAGACTGAGTCTTCAGCTAGAGAAAGGCGTAATGATTTTTCTCAACAGATAAATAAGCCCTTACCATATAAATAACGATGCAGTGATCTTTCATGCCATCTCCTCGTTCCCGAAGAGGAGACTCACCTGCTTCTATGGCCAGTCACCCAGTGATTATGCATATTCTTCCTGGATCGTCTGCTGAGGTTTTGTACTTCTGGTTTGTAAGATGAAAATCTGCCACATTTGTGACACCCAGAACCCAGATTCCTTGCTAGGGTACCAGCAATATATTATTTTTTAGATAGAAAATTACAGAGAAAGAAATCTTTTAAATGTTCAAAAGTAGTAAAAATGAAATATGAAATGGCAACATTTCCATCTACACAAAATATATTTTTCCTTTGCACATTTGTTTCATTACTTGGGATTTGATGGCTTACAGTACAATTTTCACATCCATCCCTCCATTTGAGTCTCATACCCCCTGAAGCAGGCAGGGAAGATTGAAAACCACCCTTGGGGGGAGAGATGACTACTACTTGACTAGCAAGTGGTCATCATGGATTGACATCCAGGGTTTCTGACTCTTCCCACCTCATGTGTGACTCCCACTCACATGGCACTATGATTATAGAATTGTCCAAAAATGGGAAATTAGATATAGAATACTCTATTCATTCAGAAAATTTGACATAATAATTAAAGAAAAATTCAACAAGAATTGAAACAAAATGTTTTCTGGAAAACTCTGAGGTCTGAATCTGTTATAATCATAATCATTGACACAGAATAGAGATGGACAATATCATACAGTACCTGAAGAAGCAAGTCCCCCTCAGAAAACAGTTCTACATTGACCTGTGGAGAGGTGTGCTCAATTCCTCCTGGGTTCATGGGTGGGTCAGCTGAGCAGTCTGCTTTGCTGTCCTTTAGGGTGGCTGAGAAAGAGAAAAGGTGTTATTATGAGCAAGTTCTGGCCCCCAGGGATAGAGAAGAGAACCCAGGTGACTCTGGTTCTCAGGTCCAGAATGGCAAGTGTGGCTCTGTATATTGGCACCTTCAGCTTTTCTTTGAAGGTTCCAGCAAGAGTGGCCATATTTTATTGAACACCTGTCCCCCTCCACTTGGGAAAAGGACCTCATTTTAACCTTTGTCTGAGCTGTTCTGACTGTAGTTTTTCTGCAGGCAAAGTATTCATTCAGTTCAAATGCTGCCACCTCTGAGGGGCCCTTGCTATTTCTTCTAACAAAAGGTAATTACACCTCTCTGAGCTCCCTTAGCATTATGCAGCTACCACCATAAAAGTGTGTCTTGGTGTATGACCATTTCATTTCTGCCTTACACATCAGATCAGTAGAAGTGCATGACACAACCTGTTAGGAAAAATTGCAGTCCCAGATGCTTGGCCTTGTTTCATCACCTCCACCCATCTTGGTCTGAACCACCACCAACTCTGGCTGGACAAAGATAGCAGCTTCCTTACTGGTCCTTCTACTTCTGTCCCACACAATCAAGTCTCCAAATAACAGCTAACATTGTCACTGACTATGCACCTTGAGAGACTCAAAGGTGGGTTTGGAAGCAATTGACTCTTTTTCCAAGTTTTTTCTTTTACTTTTGCGTATTAGGGAGATGTAACCACCAACCATCCTGAAACTGACCAAGCCACACCACAAGAGCTATGCCCATGACCTTTGCTTTATTTTTAATGCAAAGATCTCTCCAGGAGGAGCTTAGGCCTCATTATGTGCAAGCATGTTCTCGAACTGAGCCTGTGCGAGTGAATACCCGCCTCTCCCTTTTGAATATTCATTCCCCAACTGAAATAAATGTCCCTGCTTCCCTTTGTTCGGGGACACCATGACTTTGGAAATGATTCCTCATGGCCTACTATTTGCTGCAAATACACTTTACTTTGTGAGACAACTTCCACTGGTGTAGAGGATTACTGAACTCACCAGGGGGCGAGCCCACTTGGTTTGCTAACAACATAATATTTCTTAAAATTATACTGCATATGACGTCACTTTCCTGCTGAACACCCTCCAGTGGCCTCACACCTGGCAACAAAATCTTAAGTCCTGACCACGATGTATCAGTTAAGATTCACTTTGGATTTGAGTAAACAAAATTCCCAAGACAAAAGTTTCTCTTATACAATCTTGGAACTGTGCAGTCAGTGCTGTGTGCAGCTGTGCTCTCGGAGCTGCCCTGGGACCAGCTCCTTCCAGCTCGCTCTACCCTCCTGGGCGCAGCCTCAAGACATCATCTGGTTCTGCTTCTGGAGGAAGAGCATGAGAAGAAACAGCGGGCCCAGCGCTCTCCAGGAAGCAGCCACGTGACTCGTTTGCTGTAAGCCTATTGGTCAGGACCTGTCACATGACCATGAGGCAGCATGATCCTTTTCAGGGCGGCTCTGGGAGCTGAACTGGGACCTGGTCTCTGGCCCACGTCAGCCCCTCAGCCTTCTCACTGTTCACAAAACAGGCCTGTGGGCGCGCCAGGTGCTCCGCAGGCGCTGTCTCTCTCCTGGAGGCTCTTCCTGCAGTTCCTTCACTTCCGGGTCTGCTCTGACGACCTCCTCGTGGCACATCACCTCGACTTCCAGTCAGCGCGTTGGCCGCTGTGCGCCTCGCTCCGCTGTGTTCTCCCTCGGAGCCCCCGTCTGACGTCATATCGTCCTCTGTTTGTGGAGCCCGCGTCTGACGTCATATCGTCCTGTTTGTAGACTCACAGTGTGTCCTCCCCTTGGACGGGACCTCCACGCCCCCAGGGCTCGTTTTGCTCCCGCTGAGTCTGCGGCGCCAGATGCAAGGGCAAGTGCCCGGAAGGCCCATCAAATGTGGGGATGCACCTTTTCTCTGTCCTTGTCCTCTGTCTGTGAGTCTGGGGTGAGTGTAGCCAAACTGTGAATTCCAAACCCTGTTCTCCTGCATCTGTAAACGTGAAGAGAATATGGCCCCAGGAGGTGCACTGTTCCGTTCTACACAGACCATCCCTGAAGAGTTCCCGCAGGGAGCTGGAAAAGGGAGCCAAGAAGGCTGTGCCATTTCGCCTTTCTGGTGTTATCTTTAAGTATGGGTAAGTCTGTACAAGTCTCAACGCTATTTAGCTGGGTAAACACAAAATTTATTACTAATGCAGATAAAGAAATAATTTCATAATTTGCTTAAAGATAAATGACTCAGTGCAGACGCTGGAAACACCTCCCCACAGAAGCATCAGTCATATTGGTGGACGTATTTTCTTCTAAGTTGAAGATTAAAAAGAAGAGAGCAAGCCTCATCTAAAAAAAACCATTTAACCAAAATGGGCATAATTTTGTGATAGGGTGTTCAACATTAAAAACAAGCACACATGGCCTACATTTTCCTCTTAATCAAGACCTCCTTGGGCTGGCCCCATGGCTTAGCGGTTAAGTGCGTGCGCTCCGCTGCTGGCGGCCCGGGTTCGGATCCTGGGCGCGTACCGACGCACCACTTCTCTGGCCATGCTGAAGCTGCATCCCACATACAGCAACTAGAAGGCTGTGCAACTACGACATACAACTATCTACTGGGGCTTTGGGGGGAAAAAAATAAAAATTAAAAAAAAAAAGAATTCTAAAAAAAAAAAAGACCTCCTTTAGTTTATACAGAAAATAACTTTGGAACTGAATAGCTCATGTCTTTAGGGAAAGTTGGTGGCAAAGATGCACTGGTAAGCTTGTTAACAATCGTTGGAAAGAGAGTCTTTCCTTTTATCATGTGGATTTGGCAACAAAGGGCCAAATATGGCAGCTTCTGAACATTAGGCAGCAGTCTCCCTGTCAAAGGCAGGACCAAGGGGATCAGGTGAGTATAATTTCCTCATCTTCCTATGATTGGCTGCCTTGTTCCCCAAATAGTGAAAATGATTTTTGTAATCAAGTGATTTAGGCTCAAAATACCCATTAATCCAGGTATCATTGTATTTTCTTACGTACAGTACATATTACCCTTTAGGATCAGAAGCTTCCCGAAGGAGGGGAAAAACTGGCCCCCAGTGGATAAGCCCCTCTCTACCCTTCTTTTTCCTCTCTCTTTTAGTCTCTCCCAGCCAAAGAATTGACAAGTTCCTCTCTGTCTACAACCTTGATGCTTTGTCAAATGAATTTTTTCCTCCTCACACCTCTTCAAGGAAAAGCATCTGAAGTTTGGCAATGATGTTGCCAAAATCTGTTCAGATTTCTGGCTTTCCGTTGAGCTGTTATTTCACCCAGGTCCCCAAATATTGTCCTCACATTCCTCTCAAATGTTTACTAAAGAAGGGCTGTGCTTAAGGCTCGTGAAGAACTGTTGGGATGATAAGAGATACAATCTTGGAGTTGGAGGTGGTGGGTAGAAAAACGTATCTCCAGGAAATACCAATTGGACCATCTGGAGAGCTGTGACCCA